CGTTACTGTACTTGCTGTTTGCAGGGTATAATAATACCAGTACCAGTTGAAACATCATCTGTTGGCTCCGTGTTCGTATTTTATCATCGCCGCCAGGGAAGTCTTTCTGTTACTGTTGCCATTTTGGTATTTGAACCATCACACCTGTACTATACCAATTACGGTAATATTACGTTGCGTGTGACAACATAAGTCCCCGTTTTCGGACCGAGTCCGAACGGGGACTAAAAATAAAATCATATATATGTTCAATGTATGTACCAAGATGGTGAATGTACATGTACCACCAAGATCTGGGTCTGATTTGGTAGAAATGCTTGATTTTGATGGATTTTCAACATTTATATAAATGCCAGCATTAAACCATCTTGCATTGGATCGTCAAATAAATTATTATGTGTGACTAACGTATGGTGCATCTATAACATGATCAGTCATGAAATGTCAGAGATATGGTACTGGAACCACATTCATTGAAACATTTTTAATCCAATCTGAAAAATAAGAATGACATGGATCAAGGTTGTATAATGTTCAATGTATGTATTAAGTTTGAATAAAATCCATAAATTTAAAGCAGATCCTTGAATTGAAGAAAAGCTGATTTTTGATGAATTGTAATGATAAAATTGCCGCCATTTGGTCATCTTCAATCATACAAATATACATACAAATGTGCAGCTAAAGATTGTACTAAAGTCATGGTACATTGGAGATACAGCTCCAGAACCAGTTGGCCATTTTGAATCTGATTTGAAAAATGTTTGTCAATGAATAAAATTCAATCATACATAGTCGAGATCCATGATACTTGATTTTGCTACATTTTTAACATTAAAATTTCTGCATTAAAATGTTCAGTCACTTTGAATAAGATGATCAAACAAATATACATACATGTGTGCTGCAAGATGTATAATATGTATAAAAAGTCTGAACATGATCGATCAAGGCATGTCAGTGATAAATCTCCAAAACCACATTTCGAATACGATCTGAAAAACGCAATAACTGACACCAAGATCCTTTAATATCCAATATATGTATCAAGTTTGTATAAAGTCCATCAATATATACCCAAGATCTGCTTCCAGAATGGCAAAAATACTTTGTTTGTACGAATTTTTACCATAAAAATGGCTGCCATTTAGCCATCTTGAATCAGATCATAACAAAAATGCATGTGCATATGTTTCCTAAGATATATGATGTGTGTGTGAAGTTTCATGGACCCAGGCATGTCCAAAATACAGGTGTGGATGGACAGATATACACACACACATATACATAAGTTTTCTGACTACATCCGAATATGTCTTTATTTAAGATGAGTTTCACATTCAATGAGGAAGCATGATTTTTTTGTGAAATTCAATCCCCATAAATGACAAAATCATATAACAGTGAAATTTACAATAAACAAAATCAAAGAAGGCTTAGAAAGAACTTATGTGTGCTGGAGGCATGAAGTACAACATAGGAATACTGTATTTACTATATTAGAAGCACATCTTCATTGCACATAAAAAGCACTGTATTTATTTATTTATTGAATGTCTTATTTTGACTATATACTGGTCTTTGCCCTATTTTACAGTAAGCACATGTGCTTCTAATAGAGAAAATGATTAGGGTGGTTCCAAGTAGCTATGTTTCAACAATAATAATTATTTAGGGAAATAATGACCATATATGATGACTTTGATTAATATGCATGGATTTCAACACTTAAGTTGTCAGAACTGTGGCTTATTTAAAAGTACCTATGTACCTATAAATTATGCAAATTAGGTAATTAGTGAGCACAAAATTTAACCCTAAAATGAACATGTTTTTATATGCAAATTAGTATTAACATATTTCATCCAAAAAGAAATCAAGCATCTATGTACCATGTTTCATTAAAATCTGTTGAATGGAACAAGTGAAAATGTTTAAAATGGCCAATTATGCAAATTACATAATTAATATGTCCTTTCAACCAATTGGTTAATTAATATGCAAATTAGGTAGATATATGGATTTCAACTAAAAACTAATTAAGTCTGCACATCATCACAGAGCCTTTATGTACTATGCTTAAAGTTGGTTAATTAATAATGAAAATTAGGTCATTAATGTGCACAAAATTTCAACCAAAAAATAATCAGGTCTGTGCATTATCCTAGAGTATTACCTAGTTTCATTTAAGTCTGTTTAATAGTACAAAATGTACATAAGAAACAAGTGAAAATCTTTAAAATTGCCTAATTAATATGCACAGATTTCAACCAAAAACAAATAAGGACTGCACAGTTATGTACCAAATTTTCATTAAAATCTGATATCAGTGGAACTGACACACGCGCACACATACATAGACGCACCAACTGCAAAGACTCTCATTGTGTGCTTCGCATATGAATAACAACACAGTGTAAACAATTAAATTTGTGTTTTGGTATCATTTTATTTCTATTAAGTATGCTGAATTTTATGACAGCTATATTCACTAAAACACAAGAATTCTCATACATATCCTTCAATTAGAAATGAATTACAATATATTAACTTAAGTTAAGTTAACAATTTGGAAAATAAGTAAAATGGCCGATATATTGCAGGACAGAATAGCGCTGTAGGTAACATTTGTGATATACACATTCCAATGGTCCAGATGGTGTTTTGTGTTTTTGCCAAATGTGGTTGTCGATTTGCTGCCACCACTAGGATGATGAAACATGGCAGTTATTAACAAACCAAAAAACTGTATATTATGTTGTATATTAAATGCATCTCCAGATGAGATGGGTATAGATAGATAGATAACAGCTTTATTACAACCGTGTAGAAAATTTTACATTTCTAATTTGGTGTTTAAAATATAATAAAGTTAATAATGTATAACTAAAAAAAAGTAAGTAGGCGAAAGTTGAGTAAATAAAAAGTTAAATAAGTGTGACTGAGTGTATTCTTTTGTTTGTTCATTTACTGTTACTCAAGTACACATAGAGGGCTATAATAGTATCTTTATCTTTTGATTGTAAGATATGTTTAAATTGTTTTTCTTTATCCAAATTCAGGAAATTTGCATTTTATACACTGTTGATAGTGTGAAACATTGCGTCTCTTTGTTTTGTGTACAATTTACAATGTATTAAATGATGTTCCTCATTTTCAACTTCGTTACAATGGGAGCATAACCTGTCTTCCACTGGTGTTTTTGGTTTTGTATAACGACCGTTTTCGATGGCAAGTTTATGACAACTTAATCTAAATTGAGCTATTGTTTTGACATGTTGTGGGTATATGTACATGCAACATACATACTATTCTGTCCATAGTCGTCACTA